GTATAGAGGTATGGTGACTGCCTTTGTAGTTAGTGTATTGTCACTCAACATAGAGTGCCTGGAGATCAGTTTTGCTGATGAAAGACCACCAAACGTTTTCAAATACCCCTGGTTTGGTGATATCACATCCAGGACAACAATTTCCTTTGAAATTCTTCATCTCCTCTATAATCTTTGATGCTAATAAAAAAAAAACAAAAACAAAACATTGTGTAACTTATCAAAATGCACCACGTTGCTCCTCTGCATTGTGGTAACATGGCTAGTTCCTTTTCGCGCCTCCTTTTTCCTCCACAATAGTGAACCAGGTATTATACTCCTGGGTGGAGACAAACGTAGGTAAAGTGCCTTGCCCAAGACAACGAGGGTTCGGACCCCGACCTAGAGACTGAGAGACCGAAACGTAACCGGTCCCACTCACAAGTATCTTATTAATAACAATATCAGTAATAATAATAATAATAATAATAATAATAATAATAATAATAATAATAATAATAATAATTTAATGTCGATGTTTATGAGGTCTTTTGTATTCTCTTGGAGGTTTAGATTTTAGAAGATATATGCACATAATTACGATTTTTAAAAAGATTTGTTTAAATGATGCTTAATTGAAAAGGAATTGCTTAGGCCTAGATTGGGAATTCCCACCCTCTCCACGGAAGTTTCTTACGTACCAATAATTTCAAAACAGGAAATTAAAAACATGCTCTATTACTTGAAAGTTCCGACATTTAATAGTACATTGTAATTAGGAAGTTATTGTTTTGATTAGGCCTATACCCTGTGACCTAAGTTTCTAAAAATAGATGAGCATCAATATAAATGGATCGTATGACTCCCATTAACGATACGGTGAAGATAGAAATTTCCATTACCTTACAAAATGTGTTTTTTTAACGCCCATATTCTTTTATTTTTTTCGATTAATCATCCTCGCCTCCAGTATTCGTCATTTTCTAAAAACAGGATAGTATTTATGAGAAAATGTTGGTGAATATCATTCAGTGGACTACTAACTCGTTTCGTTAGAACATTGGATTAAGACTGCTGTTAAGGTAAGTACTGATAATTTATATTCAACCGATAATTGAATCGTAAGTGTCTATTAAAGTAGGCCTATTAAGGGTATTATGATTACTATATAATTATTAGGCATAATTATTACACAAATATGGTTATTTTACACGAAACCACATTTGCCATGCTTGACCATTGGTCCTGGGTCGTCATAGTAATTTTAGGCAGTAGGCCTACTGGTACCAGTTCATAAAGGTTCTACTGTACATATCTAAGCTCTGTCCAGAATATCACATTTTATTTGACAAAAACATGTGACATACCTAAATATGGTCATGATGACATGCCTAAATATAGTCATGATGACATCATATCATAATCATATAGGCACATCATGACTATTTATATGGGCATGCTACAGATTTTTGTCAAATAAAATTTGATAGTCTGGAGAGGACTTAAAAAACTGTTTTCAGAATGAGTTTATCCAAAGAACTGAGAGGAACCGATTCGTTTATATGGTGTACGAGACATGCGGTTGGTACTGGGGCAACATCGACCGTCTTTGTTGGGCGTTATAAGGTAAGTGTAACCAGTGGTCAAATAGTAGAGCCATAGCTTGATAGTGAGGCTTGCCTTTCCAATCCATTAGATTCCGAAATCACTCTAGAATCCTCTAACACAATACGATATGGCTGCATCCGTGAATGTATTTCGCAATATTGAACACTAAAGGCTGATGCAATCGTTAGTCATAGTACGGGTATTTCCCATTACTTATTGAGGGCGCTATTTATCTTGTTTTTCTCTATCGTCGTATCTTAGAAAACTGGCGAACAAGTTGCAATTAAGGCGTTTAATGATATGTCTTATTCCCGACCACGTGATGTACAAACACGTGAACTAGAAGTTGTAAGAAAGTTGAAGCATAAGAACATCGTGGCAGTACTGGCAATTGAAGAAGACCACGTGTCTAAACAGCCTGTCATAATCATGGAGTTATGTCGTGGAGGTTCGCTATTACAATATTTAGACGAACCTGAAAATATTTTCGGATTGAGTGAGAAGGAATTCTTAACTGCATTGAAACATATTTGTAAGTATTTAGAAAA